CAAATTCTTCTTTCTGTTGAAAGAGTATATATATATATATATATGTATGCGCATGTATATATATTATACATATGGGTGCCAAAATTATAGAGGACATGCAGTTAAAAAATAACAACAAAGAACGCTTGCCGGAATTTTGGATGATCTACAGAAATCATGCCAGAAACAGATGTAGTCGTTTACTTTACGAGGCAAGGAGAAAAATAGCTGGAAAGTGCCACTGCCGATGAATTTGCTGTTTTGTATACAACGGTTTTAGGTCAAGGTTGGATGGAGCTTTTTGGATACTTGTTTCCTCTAGTGCACCCTCCTATGTGTTTTGTAGATGAAAGTTTACTTTTCGAGAATAGGCCTCGATATATTCGCATGTGTTTTATGATCGCACAATTTTTTGCCATCTTTGACCACTTTGTTCATGCTGGGCTCCTCTCAGTTTAGGAACATCGTACTTCCGTAATTTGTCATCAGCAACCTCTCAATTTATGTCTCGTTCCAGTCATCTCTAGGGATTCGTCTACTCAGGTTGCGTTTTACTCACGTGATATGCCTGCTAAACCAATCGTCATCGGCACCGGGAAGCCGGTAGCCAGCCCAGGCCGGCCGTCTGTGCTTTCCGGGTATAGGCTATCGAATGATCCGCTGGAACCGAACACCTCTTACGGCATTTACGCAGTAACCGAAAGCTACGTGGACGATGTCTCAGAGGATGTGGTGTCAGGCTTCCTGGTGCTGCATACAGAATTGGTTACGAAGGCGTTCAGTTCATCCAAGCGCGTGCATAAAATCGACAAGACTGTTTTGGGCGTCAGTCTATCCATTTTACTGTTTATGTTGGCCGTTCTACTGCTTGGCACGGTTACCTACTGTGTGTGCTCTCGAAACGGATTGGGCGAGGTGAGTTCCCGTTTTACTGGTTTTCTTTTGAATTTCCATCAGAACTCGGTTTGATAACGCAAATGCGGAAACAATTCTGGATAAGCGCTTTCAGTGTTTGCAAGCCTCAGCTACAAACAAGATGGTGTAGGAACACGGATATGACCGACTCATGTATGGCGTGTTTATTTTAAGTAATTTTCAATTCCACAGCTTTCTGTAGATTCCACGAGTATTTTCTGTATGGACATATATCCTCAAGTAATTTCAATAGTTCATACAAGTACTCTTGTCTGTGCACTCTTGGCGATACTTTTGGCTCCCTCACCTCGCTATACGGGTTAGTACGGTTTCTGTAAGTAAAGCTAGGTAGTGAAAGCTTGCCTCCGAATAATAACCCGTAGTCACGGGTCTTATAGAAGCATTATTGGACTTTTTTCTAACGTCTGGTCAGAGAATTGTACGGACAACAAAACAGCATTTCTTATAGGGGCTGCAACCAAAGATAGAACTGTGTAACGACATAGATAGCGAGGTATTAGTAGTGTTTTCTACTCTAGAACGGCGGTTGATGACGGTCTATCCCGACTTCATATTATTCCGATTTAGTCAATGAACCGCAGATAACACGAGAGAATTAATAAGATCATCCATTATCCTATAGGGAAGTTAAAGCCTTTTTTTGGACCTTCTCAAAGAGGACCTACTGACATCGAACGATTTGTGACACTTGGGAAGCTATCAACACCCAAAATGTCATGCCAACAATTTTGAGTTTTCGACGCATGCCCACCCAGTTGTCAGGAGAAAGCTGAATTTGAGTGTGCCTAATGGAACAAGGTGCGGTTAATCTAACAGCATTAAGAGTGTTGCTATTTATACTCACATTCTTTCCACAGCTGGATTTTAGTTGGTATCAGCTGGTGCTAAATTCAGGCTAATCACTGGACCTGACGGTGGAATGAAAGCATAATAAATGAGCTAGACTGTGGTCATTTTGCGGTATTTGATGAATCTCTCATTTCCACAAAGGCGTTCAGGGATCCACGCAATAGATGTGGGGTTATTAGCCAATAACGGTTACGTGTGTACTGAAAGCCAACTAACTCTTTTGCTCGGGCAAAGAACCGATGATATGTCAAGGTCGTATTCGGTACCCGCAAGGGTAATGTGGGATGCCACACCCTAGCGTGGTGCAATGACCCTTTCAGGATCTTGACGCGGTGTGTTTGATGAAGCTCATTAGCCGCACAGTGCTCTCAGCTGCAAAACCTTTACGAATGGAGTAAAACTTTTTGCGCCAAAATGTTGCATTTTGTTGCTCAAACAAAAAACCATCCTTATCTACGTTCAGACTTTCGCAGCTCACCAAAGTCCATTGTCCACTGAAGCAACCATACCTTTGGCGGAAAAGTCTGATGGAATAATTTTCCAGCATCGCTAAGACCCCGGGATGCCTGAATGGGGCTCAAATGTTTGGACTGGTACTCTGAACTCAATTACCCGATTGCTTTAGTCCATCAGGGACACATCATAGCTTTCGAAAATTCGATTCCATTGTGTGAATACTGAGCGCCGTGTTTGATAGGGTGGGGTTGATACCCTCACTTTGTGCGCCGTTAGTCCAGTCATCCGACCGTCGAAACCCACTTGTTCCCCACATGTGTGGACACGTGGGGCTGTGCATAGGCATAGTTGCATGGAAGCCGTCAAAACTGCCATCTCCCCCAGCACATGAGTGTGCAACAGACAGGAGATCTAGCCTCCTGTGGCTGAGACTAGATAGACAGCTGAGTCAGACTATCGGAGATGCACCTCATATCGGCTTATGTGTACGGCACGGACAAACCAGTTGAACCATATCAACTACGCCGGTTTAGGGGATAGACAGACATGACGCAGTCGACCTCGCCAACCGAATGATCGATAGCTAAGTTGGACGCACAACCGGGACACGACGGCGATAGGCCAGCTGTGCCTGTGGCATCTTCCGTTCGAAACGCGAGCGTTCTCGACTGTGTTAAACGATCCTGTCGTCTGCAGCTCCTGGTTTGACTGTCAGGTGGACTGCTGCCATTGGACCGCAAGTATTACTTGATCAGGAAAATTCGACCCTTTCGCACCGTTCTGCTGGACACCTGTACACTTCGAAAAAAGTGAATTAAGTGGTGATTTCCCTAAACTTCATATAGTAGTGTGACTAATCCATCTACTAACAATTGCATGGCATACTGTAACACTACATGAAACATTGCCATCGGTGAGCAGTACGAAAGCATAGAACGGAGTATTTTTCCGGTGGTGCGTTTTTTTCAACCCAGGAAGGTCTGTTGAACGTTCTCCCCCTCCCCATATCTCATGGATCTCCGTCATCCAAATGCAACCACCACGATACCTACCGTACTCTAGTTTTCCTCACTGGCTGACGATACGTCAGCACATGCGTCGGTCTACTGGGCTTGAGTACTCAAGCCGGCAGACGGGTCGTCGCATTTAATTTCACAAGCCCATTTTCAGTGAGCACAGTAGACCACTCTGGCAGATAAGCGAACCACCATATCGACACGCTCAGATGAACGTAAAGCGAAGCTAGTCTTGCAAGGATCGGTTCGTGATGAATAGGCTACAATCGGGCATTGGCAAACGTGTTTGATAGGGTGGGGTTGATACCCTCACTTTGTGCGCCGTTAGTCCAGTCATCCGACCGTCGAAACCCACTTGTTCCCCACATGTGTGGACACGTGGGGCTGTGCATAGGCATAGTTGCATGGAAGCCGTCAAAACTGCCATCTCCCCCAGCACATGAGTGTGCAACAGACAGGAGATCTAGCCTCCTGTGGCTGAGACTAGATAGACAGCTGAGTCAGACTATCGGAGATGCACCTCATATCGGCTTATGTGTACGGCACGGACAAACCAGTTGAACCATATCAACTACGCCGGTTTAGGGGATAGACAGACATGACGCAGTCGACCTCGCCAACCGAATGATCGATAGCTAAGTTGGACGCACAACCGGGACACGACGGCGATAGGCCAGCTGTGCCTGTGGCATCTTCCGTTCGAAACGCGAGCGTTCTCGACTGTGTTAAACGATCCTGTCGTCTGCAGCTCCTGGTTTGACTGTCAGGTGGACTGCTGCCATTGGACCGCAAGTATTACTTGATCAGGAAAATTCGACCCTTTCGCACCGTTCTGCTGGACACCTGTACACTTCGAAAAAAGTGAATTAAGTGGTGATTTCCCTAAACTTCATATAGTAGTGTGACTAATCCATCTACTAACAATTGCATGGCATACTGTAACACTACATGAAACATTGCCATCGGTGAGCAGTACGAAAGCATAGAACGGAGTATTTTTCCGGTGGTGCGTTTTTTTCAACCCAGGAAGGTCTGTTGAACGTTCTCCCCCTCCCCATATCTCATGGATCTCCGTCATCCAAATGCAACCACCACGATACCTACCGTACTCTAGTTTTCCTCACTGGCTGACGATACGTCAGCACATGCGTCGGTCTACTGGGCTTGAGTACTCAAGCCGGCAGACGGGTCGTCGCATTTAATTTCACAAGCCCATTTTCAGTGAGCACAGTAGACCACTCTGGCAGATAAGCGAACCACCATATCGACACGCTCAGATGAACGTAAAGCGAAGCTAGTCTTGCAAGGATCGGTTCGTGATGAATAGGCTACAATCGGGCATTGGCAAACCAGTCATCCCTTCGACGGTTTGGTGGACTTCATAGCCGGTCACCCGAGATCCAGCTGAGAATAGCATAGCATGAATGTTAGGCTACTTCGTGCAAAACACAAGCCTTTTAACCAATTGAGATGAAATCCCAAGGGAATGTGTGAAAGTAAACTTAGTGGAATCATGAAACCACCAGCACCGAACTTGAGGCAGAAGCCAGTCGCCATGTCCCCGAGGATGATTTAGCAATTCTATTTTTAAGAGTTGTTATTACTGTGACCGGATCCCAACCTTGTCTTATCATGCCCGTTTGGGTAACTCATGCACTAGAGCTTGGCATTCGTCTTTAAATGAAACTGACAGCAAACCACCCAGACCAAGGGATTTGTGGCGTCTCAGGATCATTAGCACTGATGGGATTCCTGATTCTGCTAATTGGGGACTGTCTATGGGCAATGAAACGTTTTACTTGAAATATGGAATAGTAGTAATTCTCAATAGGTTGCTACACTATTACTGAAAGAGTTCAGTCTAGTAGCCATGTGTGGTTCCAGATTGTAGATTGTGGACTTCCAGTTCACCTTGCTTTTGGTCTAAGTTTTGTTAAACATTTTACTGCCGGTCTAGCGAGTAAGTCTAAACGATAATCAGACGATACTTATGTTGGATGCTACTCATGATTTCACCCAACAAACCTCTCTATGTTTCCTCAACTGACTCCAAAAGGGTGAAATTCTGAGTCATACCGATAAACCCGATTGCATGTTTCTATGACTATCAAGCAGTTTCTAGGAACAGGCCGAAATCCAGCTTCTACATTAGTGTGATGCATATCTTTGCAAGAAAAATCATCATCCACACTAGAACTTTGCATGGATCGGGGGACTATTTCTGTCCAATACTTTCGAAGGCTTTGTAGTTCGCCCTATCTAGCCACAGTCTTTGAGGTGAGGGATATCCAGAAAGTCTAGGAGATCGTCAATACAACTCTAAATGAACTATAAAATAGTCTGCCAACAAAAATGTGCGCATCTGAGGGAACTCCAGGAGGTTTCAAACCCGTGACCTCCCGGCCAGTAGTTGAAGATCGAACCTTTCGGCCACAAACCGTTGGTCAGTGTTGTGTTTAACTAGCTCTGAGACTGGATATAGCGCTACTCGTCCCTCAATCACGGAATCAACACCACGTTGGCACGTGTCCTCTGACTCCTCAAGTGACGACCTTAGATGGAAATTCCACTCGTTCGTGAAATTGCTTTTCATGTGAGCTGCTTATAGACTCTTGATAGTGTGGGGAAACTTTGGAACTTTCTCAATTGAACTCTCTTCCTACGGGCGAAGCGAATCTATGCCGGAAAGCCGAAGAAGATAGTTCAGCTGTTTCATTCAGTCATTCTCGGCTTTTCACCATTCACTTGCAGGAACAAATCTCAGTTGATATAATCCCTAATACTCCTCATATTACCAATAACTCTACTTTATACCGACTACCTTTTGAATCAGCATGCTGGTTGTATCGTTTCATTCAGTTAGCTAACCGACCTATTTGAACGAATTGAGATCCACCGTGTGACCTCACCCCTTTCTCAAGACGTTAATTATTCTCGTATTCGAAAAAGACTGAACAAAGTAGGTTTCAAATCCTCAAGATATCAGCTTCACATTGTGTCCAACATTCTTGTTGGAGCTCGTTTACCAAATAGCAAGCTGATTTTTGCAGCGCGCATGGTTGCACGGATCAGGGAATCGCGACAAAATTGGGAGCACACAGCAGTTCACCAACTACGGTAGCGAAACAACAGTGTTGAACACTGTTAAACTGTCAGCGTTCGGCAACGGCGCACGAGTGTTTCATTCCTCTAAAGTCGTGCTACTTTCGACGCGGTCGTTAGCGCTGTTCCTCGGAGGAGACCATATCGGATATATTTACAAGTTTATGTAGATAATGTACTTAGAAATGCCAAAAAATGTCCGGTGGTACAGAAAGCACGTGCTATAGGATGAAAGACATTTTTGTATCCACATATACCAGGCTTGCAGTTGAGGTCACGGACCGCTTTGCGGTACCGAATCCTACTGCATTCACCCGGTAATTCCCGATCGGAGGATTATTTTTCCGGGTCCAAGCGCTTCAGTTGCCATTGAGCTACTAAATTAAGAGAGTGGTTTTTCGACTTTGCTAATTACACCGTGCTCAGCTCACAAGAAAATGCTCTCCCGCAAATGACAGTGTGGGATCGGAACTGTCTCAGGGAGACAATATAAGAACCAGAACTACGTGGCGGAGAACTTAATACAGTGTGAAGATTGGAGGGTCGTGATAACTATACGTTGGGTCAAATATGTATCTCTGATTGGCCTTTGTGGAGGACTCGCCTCTATTCACATCTCCCTTGACTTTCATGGGTGAACTGCTTCATCATCATCGTCATCATCATCATCATCAGTATCACCATCATGATTGACAGTATGAACCCAGTATTCAGCACCAATGCTTTGCTGCCGCATCGCCTACCCTGATGTGACATCTCTGCCGGCGGTGAACTGACCTAATAAACAGCCTGTTACGAGGGCAAGAATGACATGCATAAGGGAGACTTATGACCATGACTTAATATCAGTACATGCTTGAAGGACAGGCGTGAAAGGCACTGGAGATATTTCTCCAGGAAAATGAAAGCTGGCATTACTTTTACGGAAGACGAAACTCTGTAGACATTCTTCTACCGTTGTCTTCAAAACACCTCGCTCTTATCTGATAGTGGCGACGAGTAAAGAATGCAAAAGTACAACAATGGGATCCGGATAATGGAAACAGTACCAAAATGCAACTCATGAGTAAGCTACGTTTGCTCCGTGGGAACAGAACCATGACAAATATCAAGACTGAAAGAACCGCCACGGAAAAAAACCTTCAACACTGAAGCGAAACATGTAACATTCTGTTTTTACTCACTGATGATAAAGTTATCCTGGCATCGGTATATGGGTGGATAGTCGTTAGCCCACTCTAACTGTTAACAGCACGCTGTAGCTTCCACGACCATGCTAACGTTAGGTTTTTCGGGTTGAATAAGGTCTGACTTGCTGAATTAATGAGGTACATTGCTATCTTCTAGTTTCTGGATATCAGGCAGGTTTTCTTCTACCTTTAGAAACACCGGAACACAGTGCAATTTAACTGAAGATGAACTTTAAACTAATCAAAGTAGTACTAAACAATCTCGTTATTTCAGAACGAACTTACTGAATTGTGGAGGGAGGAAAATCGATTTATTGAAACAATTTTTCACTTCGTTTATGCCATTTGATAGGTTTCGCGTGGGAAATCGGTCGCCAGAAGCGGATTTCCTTCATCAATCTACAAATGCTTTTTAAATTCTTTATTTAAACTTTGTCCGTATTGGAAGTTTATGCGCGAGTTGTAATGAATTCTTAGCTAGAATACATAGTTTTGTGGCATTGGAGCCTTGGTAACAGAGATTCCATTCGCAAAGTGGAAGGCGCTCTGATAAACACCGAGGCAGAGCGCTGATAATGCGGTGAGTGTGATATGGGGCATGCAAAACCACATCGGAATCAAAAAGTCAAATAATGTGACATCTCACACTTGAGGTTGCCATGTTGTTTCGTTGATGTTTTGAGAAATACCACAAAACGCTATCACCCGGACACAGAGAAAACATCTTCACAGCGTATTGTCGATCACCTCTTTCAGGAAAGTCTTTTGTTGATTACCTAAAGGAGTCTACCGTAGAACATCACCCAACCCATGTTCTAATATTCCGTTATATTCGAACCCTTTTTTCTATCGTAGACAAAGTTCATTGCGGTGCTTTCTTGTTACTCATCTTATGGTTTTCTCCCTTGCAGCGGGGGTCATACTTAACAAGCAAGAGCCCTTACGCACAAACGTCTGCTAGAACAAACACTTTTGCGGACGAATATGATCGTCTGCTTCCCAAATCCTACGCTTGGTGGAGTGTTCCGGTGGACGTTCGTGAACCCCGTTATCTCATTATCGATCCCGAGAAGGGACCGTCAAGCACACTTGTTGGAACATGGTCAAAAAAGGAATTGTCCGATACGTTTGTGCGCGAGTACGCCAGGTGAGCTTTGTTCAATAAATTATCCGCTTTTATGATTTGTTTCTCCCAGTTATTCGTTGAATGCAGTGCAATACTTGTTCCCTTTCCCCCGAAGGAGGGTGAGTCAGCTCTAGGATTATCCCGAATCACTGATACCTACGAAGCACGCTTAGCCTTAAAATATTAGTATAGCCAAGAATTTTCTGTTCCATACTTTTTCCCTCAGAACACATGGAGACAAACTGGCTCGGCGACATCCATGACTATTGAGAAATAGGTTTTGACTTGCCCCTCTGAATGACTGCAACATATTGAGTAGTCCTGATTTCTAAATGTGATTGATCGCGGGTGAAGTCAGTTTAAAGATGATGCAAGGAAAATTTGTTTTCCTATCTGTGGCCCACTTTCCCTCTCTGACCATGAGTTTGCTAATCCCAAACTTATAAACTGCCAACAATGTTTAAGTCGATGTGGAGTAAACGGTGTAACGGAAGACTTCTTTATTTCACGAAATTTAAAGATAACCATAGCCTGTGTATTACCATAACGTATCACATCTGTATCATTCCACGCCACTTTCTGGCCAGTGGACATTTTGTTGGCTTCAGCCAACAAAACAGGCCGGTCCCTGAAGCTAAACCAAAAATAATTCATTTGAAGGTATGGAGTTTTTCACTTCAGGAATTTTCTTAGTGCTAGGTCTGTTTTGAATGCGTACTACAGCGGTCTCTCGTAGAGTGCAGCTTGTTCAATTGGACAAGGTCTGAAAGTTGTCAAATGCCTCGAATTATAAAGTCTATTCATACCCTTAGTTTCAACTCACCTTGACATGTAAAAACTCGAAATCTTGAAGATATGGTGTTTTTTTCCATGTTTAACAATAGCTATGAACAGAAATATATTGAGATATTGGTGATTCGTGTGCGCAAATGGTTGTAGGTCAGTTGGCTTTTGATCTGTTCGCTGGGCTAGACAATTTGCTTGCAAGCAGCAATCGGGCTAACATCATCGGTGTGCGGTTGGATGGGTAGTTCCACCTTTCCTTCGTATGCTTGTGTAGTTGGTAAAAGAATAGTTAATATCTTAATCAGACAATTACACCAAGAGATATCATCCACTCTTTAATCAACTTAATAAACGTAAGCAGCTGAAGAGAAACTACCCACCTAATCAAACACTGATGTTGTCCCCATGACTGGTGACGAAACGTCAGCAAGCAGATAGCCAAAGTCGGCGAACAGATTAACAGTCGCCTGATCTACAGCCACTTACAAACCTTTTAAAACATATAGTGCGCTCTCATCCATAAATTCCCAAGCGTGGTTGCTTATGTGAATATTGTGTACATTGGCTGAAAGTCAACTTTTTGGGCTAAAAACCACATTCAGTAGTGATTGTGGTCTAAGTATACATGCTTTATTAGTATACCGGTTATAGTTTACAAGCGATACTCAAGGCTTGAGAAAAAAGCATGCAGTGGCCCGTAGTGATTTTTCTTTAATCTGACGTCCATCATAAAACCATTCTCAGTTCGCTGCCAGGTTGAGCGTAATCACGCTCACTTTTGCGTGCTCAGTTGCGACAAGGTGGTATTCACCGTTCATCCAGAGTGATAATACGATCAGACTATCTACAGAGCGTTGTAACCAAACGGTACTATCGTGATTGGGCTCATAAATTTCCCTGTCCCGTTTACCAAGACGCCGAACTACATCGCCGTCATCGACAGCAAAAATGCCAATAACAAAAACTTGGACACGCATTTTCTTGGAAGACATATGGACAATAAGCCACCCACAGAAGTGACCATCCAAAAGGCAACGTATCAATATCACTTTAGTGTTGAACTTAATTCTGCTGTAAGCAACTCCGTATCCCAAACTTAAGGTTTGCCTTCCTTACGAAGATACGACTATAGCATTGCCCAAGTAAACATCAGGGAAGCGTGAAACACAAATAACCATAGATAAGATTAGAGTACCCACCAGAGTGAGCTATTTAGAGGTTCTAAAAATGAGTATGCATCAGGACAACATGCATTTTTCTTAAAGATAAGAAAAAACGCCATACATATACCCAGAGGATGGGGCATGTGAATGCACTCGTACACGATGAAATCGTTATCTTCTAAATCGCCTAACTAACCGAATGCGACTCTACTGTAGTTGCACAAAATTTCACGCAATTCTATAGACTGATTTTCTTGTCTTTTATTCCGTTTGTGCGTCATGGGATGTGTTGGTTGGCGCTCTCTAAGTAAATTTCTGCTTCTAGTAATGTAAGGCTTGTCCATATATATATATATATATATATATATGGACAAGCCTTACATTACTAGAAGCAGAAATTTTTTTAACTCTGGTCTCAGCTAGGATAGGTCACCTGATGTGAGTCCATAGGTTCTCTCAAACTAATTCTAGTTAGTTAACTTTGGTAATCACCGGGTCTCTCTTGGGAAACAGCCATAGTTTCACTCTGTCCAAAAGTTTCCTTAGCCGATGTTTACCGTATTCCTCCCGGATACAGCCACTGTTCTCTGATAAGTTGATCCATTTCCTTACAGTAATCACACAATTTCTGGGGTTTCAACTACCTACTTTCTCGACTGACTTATTTTTCAAGTTCCGATACACTGCGAAAGTCGACTGATTTCTGTCTAGAAGAGATATGATGGGACACTAGCAGGCATCTCTAAAACAACACTCATTACTTCGCTAGGTCATGATGCACTGCTGTCAATTTTCCGGGACCGTTCCGTGTTTCGGCTTCGAAATTCCCATTGATAAGTTATGTTGTTGGTTTGTATGCCACATACAACAGACACCAAATCTTCAGCATTCTAATGGAGAGTGAAGGAAGTTAAACGGCCCACTTCGGGGATAGGTCGTGCAGCTACCCACTTCTGGAAGTACCATCTGATGCAACAGATCTAAGTACGTGTTGCCTGAGAAGAGATGAAGGAAAGGAAGACGAATTTGAGAAGGTTGAGTCGAAATTTAATGTCCCAGTTGAGTTTTATGATCTGCAAATTTCAATTCCACTTTGATACACATTGCTGTAGCTTACCCGTCTAATCGATCAGATGTCTATGTGCGAGCACTGCAAACCGTGATAATTTACCATGTAAACCACACAGTCGCTGTGAAGTTTTAACTGGGACGATTTTCATTTCTGTGAACCAAACGTGGTCCAAAGCCTAATAGAATTAGGGTACTGAATGCATACATTGACCGTGTTTATCAACATTCCATTCACATAACTAGGGCCGCTACCAATACATTCACGCAGCGTGACTCCCAAGGAACATTGATCGAACTTGGAGTTCGTCAGTTTAAGGAAAATGTGGACAACTTATTGCATGCCGGTCAGGCTAAGCGGGATAAAACCAAATTGGTATGCAACCATTGTATTTGTCGTAGATAGGAGAACGTTTAAGTCTTTCTTGAAGAGATTTTAACCAAGATTACCTCGAAATTCTGTCAAGGATCCGAGGTGAGAGACGATAACTCCAGGATCCTTAAACTTTACAAGAGCTCATTGGTTTTCTTTCTCTGGGGTGGGGGACGACTACATAGGCTAATTTTTGTTGTCAAGACGGTTATCTGTCTATCCACCCAATGAGGCCCAATAGGTGCACCGCTTTCTCTGATTCGTGAGATTGTAGAACGGAAGAATGTCATTTAGGAGCAGTACTTGCGTTAGCCTGTTTGTTTTTGTTTATTTATACGCTGTCGTTTTCTCCGTTTCTCTTGACCTAAGTATCCCTTTGGGTCTCAAATACCCGCACAAAGCCGGCGAAATGAGAGCAAACAAACCGAAAAATCGCATCCAGTCCGTATTACCGTACGACCACAACCGTGTTGCCCTGAAGCGTTCACCCGATTCCGGTGACTCAGACTATATAAACGCGAGCTTCGTGGATGGCTATATGCGTCGTCGAGCCTATATAGCTTCCCAGAGTCCCTTCGATACTCCGACAGCCTGCGACTTTTGGCTGATGGTATTTCAACGCAATGTATCTCAGATTGTCATGTTAACCAATTTGGTTGAAGACGGAACACTCAAGTGTTGCCAGTACTGGCCTGATGTAAGAAAATTCTAGTTTCCCTCGTTTCCGCCAGCTTGGTCTAGTGTGCGAATTTGGGAGCATATCGTTGATGGCAAATAAGCTCATGAATAAATATATCATATTGTTTTTCGTGTACAAATCACTATGGGTTTTTCATTTCATTGGCCGAATTATGCACGTTGCTGAAAGCACGTGCCAAGACGGCGATCGGAAACGGAAGAGATACCCAAACACTACGGCTCGATTGTCTGATGTGGTATCCACGAGTCTGCGTAGGCTGCTTCATTCAACCAAAGCAGGTTGCTTTCGCAGCGTACCCAACAAATCTTAATTTTTTGACGAAATGGTGACAATTCGTCCGTAGCAGCACATTCAATCCCACTACAACACATGCAACACACCGCACAGTTTCCCTCCATCGATGTTGTACATCGAGATGTCGAGATGTCTAAGTGGTTGGAGCAAAAATGTACCTACCGGAAGGTCCATGTTTCGAACCTGACCTCTGCCTCTCGACTTCCCCTGTCTAGGCTTGGGCAACTTGGCAGTATTCAAGTCCTCGTGCTTCCTTCTGGTAGCACGGCAGTTGGACGCAGAAAGGGTGCTGCAGTTGAACGTTGTAATCCTACTAGGTCCTACAAGTTAGAAGTAACTTGCAGAAGTTTTTTCATCTATTTGAACCAAGTTTAGCGATTATGACATTAAAATGACTTCCCTTGGCAGTATCAAGTCCTCGTGCTTCCTTCTGGTAGCACGGCAGTTGGACGCAGAAAGGGTGCTGCAGTTGAACGTTGTAATCCTACTAGGTCCTACAAGTTAGAAGTAACTTGCAGAAGTTTTTTCATCTATTTGAACCAAGTTTAGCGATTATGACATTAAAATGACTTCCGTTGTGCCTGTGTCCAGTAGCCATTAAGTTCCATTTTCTCGCCGAACCGTTTCGCACCATAATCAGCTAAGGCTGCGTGGAATGCGGAAAAGTTCCGAAGTTCCACAAAACAAAGAAAACTCATATTACTATATATATATATATATTATTACTAATAGCGTGTGAACAATGAGGGTCGCTTAGCGGGATGTGCCGTATCTGATGCACTTGTTAGTCGTTCAATCAGAGGTGTGATGGACAGTAATACAGAGAAGTTTAAATGGCCTTAAAATATTCCACTTTATGCGCTCTCCAGTACCCAGCAGAATATACTTTTACCGGTAGAGACATCACCCAGTAAGACGCTTCTAGAAACTCGTCTAATTGCATTATACACTATTTTAAATAGGTTTATCTTGTTACCATTCGAAGGACATCTACTGTCTAAACAATCAGTCTATGTTCTTTGGTGTACAAGTGAGATACGAGGTAGCTAAAAATATTACCCTTATTTTTAAATCTCACGTTATCATTTATTAGAATGATCCCATGTTGTCCGCCGTCTCTCATAAGGTGACTAAGTGTAGAAGTTTTGACACTTAGTTTGTAGATTTTACACTGCTATTTGAACTATAATATGCATACACCCTAGTTTATTAGTTCTGCTTGATAATATTTTTATGAGGTATATAGAAAACTTTCCGTCGGATTATGCGTTATCCAGATTGAATGAATGTAGTGGGTGACGGGGAATGATGTTGCAGAGTAGCCTTTCTTCCAAAGGGTCTCACAGTGAATGACGGTATCGCAGTGTTATTCGCGGATCGCGACGAATGCAAAGGAAAACAAACCAGCTAATCAATATATTTTGTGTGTTCACTTAGAAATACATCCAAAGAACACATCCGCCATCAATTTCAGTTAGCCACCAGAGCTAAACTGGAAATTTAATGACTTTAAATGTGATCGACATCAGACAGTGACTCCACCCCCAGTAGAGATTACCGCGGGAAAACGGGCGCATTTAGTCTCTCTAGAGGATTTTGTAAGCTATTGTGGATTGCCAGCTAGGGGTGGCTTTTCTTCAGGCGACTGCCTTAAAGTGATTACTGTGGTCGGCTTTTATTTATCTTTTTTTCTTCAGATTCTCAAAGCTAACTAGGAGCTGGAAAGCTTTCAATGTGTACTTTGGACAGTCCAACCGCGAAAGCAAATATTCACACTAAAAAACCCACTAACCCACATCAGGGTGATAGAATGACTGATCATCGGAGGTAAAGTAATAATTGGGAATTGAAGTTAACCACTCAACCGTTAAGTCGCACATGTGTGACAGTAATTTAGGATGTGATGTCCTCCAAAATTGTTTTAGAAAACTGTCTGAAACGCCTGCCTTTTCAAGAAAAAAAACAGCTCCCTCTGTGGGAAGGTGACTTTCGATACCCTGTAGACTGGCTGGAGCACATTTGAAACCATCTGTATCGGTCCAAGCGCAAAGCAATATCTGTCTGAATAAAACGAGTACTCAATCTTAAAGATATGGACTAATGAAGCGGGGGTGGACTGAACGATTCAAGTAAAATGATAATTCTCCGGCCAAGAAAGACCAAAGTTGTTTTGGATACAAATCTCGGACCACGTGGTTCGCTAAATTTACACCGGTTTGAACACTCCTGATTTTCGGTTGTGGACCAGGTGGTGGTCACTCAGCTCATCGGGGTTAGTAACTGGTAAAGTTTTCGTTGTCGTGAGCCCTGGAATCTCAGTCGTAAATCGATGTTTACCAGTCGTTGTCCTGTGGAAATTCGAGCCAGAGAAACAGATGTTAAAGTGACCAACCTCCAGCCTAGCGAAGTAATACATTCCAAATAGAGAATGAAGGATAGGTATAGTCTAGGGATGATTTTATAAGAGATCAAGTCATCGTATGCTCAAATGTAATGACACATGACAATTAGAAAATATTTTGACCGTTTTAGTTTGCGCTGTTTGAATCCGTATAGATTTCGCTGCGCACAACACTATCCCGAAATTTGGAGCAAAAGGAAGACTCAGCAAAGGACTGTATCCAGTATTTTGGTAACCTGATTGTTCAGGCAGTGGATCTCATCGCCTATGCGCATTTCACCATCCGGCATTTCCTCATCACAGACAGCACCACGCGTGTCTCACAGCGCGTCGTTCAGTATCATTTTCAAAGTTGGGGAGCACCGCCAGACAATAAGGGTTACACAAATGCTGACGGTAGCAGCAGCAACCTTCCAAAGGAATGCGAATTAGGCAATACAAACGTGTCTTGCTTTGTTGATGATGACCCAACTGGAACAGCTGCAGATTTATTTTCACACAATACATCTTCCACTTCGGTGGTGCAATTCGATATGCTGGCATTCATTGAGTTCTACTATCGAGTGAAGACAGCAAGTCGTCCGGAGGACGGCCCTGTCGTAGTTCATTGTGGCACAGGTAGGTTATTTTTATACTTCCAAAGCCGATGTAGTTTATCTTGCAGAATTGACTTTCATACATATCACTGTGGTTTAAGGTGTAAATTGGAAGATCGATCATAACATTTTTTGCAGTGAGGAAGTTATGGAATCATATCGTAACTATGCACACAATCCCCATTTTTCGGCTACTTGTTTATTAGGCAAGCAGTTATCGTTGAAAAAGGTTATCTGGGTGACGTGAAAACGCCAAGAATTCAGTGACTTCTAACAAGGGAGATCTTGAAAGCACAGTATTCGCTTTTGTGGTATCCTGTTGGATCTCACTAAGGTTTTGTCGTTCTCTCTGCACTTAAATCACCAGGCCCACGATACATGACAAAATATAAAAAACTATCCAATACTATGCACCTAAATGGGCTGTCACACAAATTAATGCGACTTAGCCCACGGCTACCTTGTGTTCAATGGAAGATATCTTCGGGATAGATGATTGTAAATCCTTGGGTGGCATAGTGCCAGGACATGTAGGGCAATTATAGTAGTTACACCCCCCCCCCCGGTGGCAAAAAACTGGTGGATCAGCCATCGAAAATTTAGTAAATCCAGGATGATGCTAAGGAACCTAGGGTTGTTCTGCACCACAAATTATTTATACACTTAGCAAGTTCACTCCAAACTCCTAGTGGATGACTAGGTATCAAGTAGTGGAACGAGTTCAAGACACAAAAACAAGGAATTAAACGGTAATCTAGACGGATTATGGTCGAGAGAATTGTCGCTTTCAGATAATTTCTGAGCTGATGATATATTTCAAACGAAGCAAATCGCTTGAAACAGCCCGTTCACTTTGTATTAAAAATATAAGTCAGCACCCCAATCGTGAATTGCCATACTTTGCTTTACGTTGTAGCGAGAGAAATCGCCAAACTGGCCTCCAGTTGTGAATCCACTGCAATTGTCTTTCGAATTCAATTGGACTGACAAAAGAAAATCAAATTCTTCTCTTAACTTGTAACAAAAATCACATTGAAATTTCATTATTTTCATTCGGGATTGCTTGATTTTTTGACTGCCTTGTTTTTTTTTCGGAAACGATCTATTCCCTAAACTGAAGATCATGAAGTTGATTGCTGGCAACTTGCTTGTCGAGCGACCAACAATCGTCAGACGCACTTGAGCCAACATTACTTCCAATAACTAATATCGTCCGTCAGATACCGCTGCGACACTCACTTGAGAAGCTTTGACTGATGATGTCATCGAAACGTTTAATTTGTTTTAATCTCACAGACTATTACTGAGTGAGGCTGTGTTACCTCACTGATTTTCTTACGATATGATATATATATATATATATATATACCAGATATGAGAGGTATAACCATCTTTTGTTGTCAGGAGCGCAGCTCACTTCCAGCACGTTCCGCAAGGTGACGATGTCGTCGATACAACCCCGGACAGGGAGAAATCTAGCTTGATTCTCGCGCATGTGATGCCCTCAATGATGAATCAACTCCCATAGGATAATCCCAGACATCACATTGGAAGTTACAGCTATTATTTCGATGCCCCGGTGTTTTCCGCATAATGTTCTTGCATGTGTGTTATTCCAAACTCATACTGTGCTTTCTTCATTCTTAATTTCCTTACACCCTTTCTCAGGATTTTCACGCACTGGGCTTTATATGGCTTTTGACGTGCTGCTTCAACAAGCAACCCATGAACAAGTGGTCAGCGCTGCTCGGCAATGCGCCACTTTGACAAAGGCTCGGGCTAATATGTTTCGCTCTGCGCAGTACTACATGCTCCTGTATGATATGCTGTTCGAGGCGCTAATTGCTGGACACAACATTGTCAATTTGGATGTGCTGAGTACATACCGCACGGTACGAACCTGAGTGACCAAAGTAGTATGAAACACCACGACGTTCACCGCATTGGTTGATAATTTATTCAAAACTAACGGTTGATGGAGACTAATGTCAATCTAGGATGGTTAGGCGGACAATTAGCCGTTTTCTTCGGTTTTCGAGTTGAAGATTCCTCAGATTGTCCAGGTTACAGCGGCTCAGTCATCTCCGGGCAAGGGACGCAATGCTCAGTTGAATCAGCGTAGAGTTTTGAATAGCGTTATGGTAAACCTCGCTCACTTTTTGGCCCACACCATTTTGAAGCTGTTTTCATTACCTGGTTTAAAGAGACTGTCTCACGTGACAGGACCAGTTGGTTTCAGGACGCACTCAGGTAGACGGTGTTCAGAATTGAAGGAACAATCAAGTGTTAATGCTGAATACCGTATTACACAACCCGCATCTCCGAGAATATCTGTACTAAATTCGATGCAAATGAAGACGAAAAGACAGCGTCGAGTTGGATGTCTAATTATTTACTAGATTATGATGCAACGCACGACGTTAATACACTGCGGTTCATTGCTGGACGTTCCAGTCACCGCGGATGAACTTCAGGAGTGTAATACTCGGAAAAACCGGTAAAGCAGAAAAGAAAGTTAAACTGACAGTCACCGTTTGAAGGACGCCGTTGGATGAGTCAGCTGTTTTGTCAGGACAGTACCAACCGGACTAACCAGACCTGGGATGTGTTGACTTCAGCCTCAAACCTAAACACTGAAATCAAGTGACGTCTTTGTGATGTTAGATATCATTTGGGCCTCTTCTCTATTTCTTGTAACTCTAGCTATTCGGCTCCTGGGGAGGGCCACTCAAAGCGGTCAGAAGGTTGAGCAATAAACCTCGGTACGTTGCCGTTGTTTTGTTTCGTCATAATCCAACCATTCACCGGTCTGTTTATATGAGGCACACATGGACTGGTTGGTACTCACACTAGATTTGTGCAATCGAGTAAAATGAGGATTAGTGCGAGCTATGTATGAGAGAGCCAGAAGGATATATTTACAGGACACAATAAACATACTTCGTCACTTGGACGAAGTGTTACTCTCAAACGCTTATTCGAAGGTAGTACCATACTCCGAAATCCCAAACATATCATGTTAGGGATAGGGATGATATGATACTTGGAATAAGTGACAAAATGGGTTTTCACAATCATAAAGGAAAGTACTCACAAGGTTGTTGAAAACTCTTCGGCAGCCCACGACCGGCTTCGTCCTTGTTGGGGCTCATCAGGTAGGCGCACTCCCCGAGTTTCAGTCAACCTTATTCAAAAAGGTTTGGAGCCGATTGAGAAGCCATCGTTTCAGAAATGTCTGGTGAATAATCGTTTTTTTAGTTGGACAGCTTTTCGCTTTTGACAAGGTAGCTTCATCAGGCCAAGTAAGCAGGCTACCAAATTGGCCGGGTTATAAGGCATATGTGGAGCCAATCAGTAATTCATTTCCAGATTATCGCACGGGATCAGTTTTGAGTGTCAATTAACGGCTCTTGTCGGTTAGTGTGGTTGCCGGGCCTTCCAGTGTTAACACAATTGAAGGCAGGAAACTGACAAGAGTGTGGAGAACGGTCTTGGGTCAATCAAACTAAGTTGTCGCAACACCGACAAGCTCACGAAGACCAAGGAAAATCTACCAGTGGCACCCGCGGTGAATTATCACTTGAAGCGCCCTGAATTGGAAGATTAAGCACAAGAGCCGATCGAAACTAATTTGAAACTCCAACCCATCAGTTCAAGATTTTGACAACCACACTAGCCGACAAAAGCCGTTAATTGACACTCAACAGTGATGCAGTGTGATAACCTGAATGGTTCCCTGACTGTCTTATAACCTGGGCAATTTGGTGACCTGTTCGCTTGGCCTGATGAAGCTTTTGTGTCAAAAGTGAAACGCTGCCCACAAGAAAAAACCAGCAATTGTTTACCAAATCCTCCTTTAACGACTAAATGGGTTGTTGAAGCAAAACTCGGTCCCAACATGACCTATTATTGGTCTTCTGGTCTGCTAGTTGAACTGTTTCCTGGTTTGTGGATGCCCTTGAGACTTAACCTCTCCGGTACCCCCACCCTGAACTTTGTTCGTTTGTCTCCACAGTGAGCCTGGTGTCAGGCTCGGCCCGAGCTGACTTAGTGTGTCCATTGATTTGTGTACTCGCTTGTAGGGGCGAGTAGAAAGGGTCGATTTCGATGTTTCGGTTGACTGAACCATTTGCGGAGTACCACGCATCTAAGAATTCCACCTCGAATATCACTCACCGACTCACTCAACTACTGCTTGGGTGATTACGTGTGACGACACTGGATTCATTCTAAAACCATGGTCCGTAATTCACTTAGCATGATCGGGCACTGTAGCGCTATGCGGGGTACTTTCACCCTGGAACCTAATAGTTTATGATGACGTATTGTCAAAAACTCCCACCAACTGTTTTACACACTGTACAAAAACTTTTGAATCTTCCAGCTGAATCATAAGAACGGTAAGCTTGGTCGATCGTTCCTGTGGGAGCAGTGGTCCGTGTTGCACCTATTTTCTCCGCCTCCCGACCCCGACAAGGACTTGAGGGTGGCGTTAGCAGCATCAAACGCTCGACGAAATCGTTATGGACGAGAGATAGATTTGTTGCCTGCTGAACGCTGGCGCCCACACCTTCGACCACATGCAGGTGCGCCCGACTGGACTGATTACATCAATGCTGTATTTCTTGACGGTACGAACCTCAGAGACGATTTAATTTTGACCCAGACGCCACTGGCCACGACGGTGGATGACTTCTGGTCTCTCGTTGACGAAGAAAAGGTGTGTTTCTCACGACCTTATTGAGGTTAATAACGTTTCCCAGTTCTCACACACGATTAACTGCAGTACGTTATCGAAATTCGGTTGCTCTAGACTGAACTATTCTGTGACAATTACTGTCTATGTGATTGTACGAAAGTAAGACTAGCAAGCAGCATAGGTCAATCAAATAAAACCTAAGATCTTCTCTTTTTATTCCGTCATAATAGATTTCTTGTATTGTGGATATGGAGCCGTTCGGTTACGGCACCAAGGGTGCAGTTCGGTATTGGCCTCTCCGAGCAGGCGAAATAAACTCTGAACCACTTTTTGAGGGCTCTTCAGATGAAGAGAGAATGCGGTCTGATACTCAGTCGGACGCTGAAGATGCAGCTGCAACACGCAGTCCGTGGTGTCCGATGGTTCATGGTTACCTTGAAGTGTGCCAAGTTGGGTCGCTTACGCCGGTAATTTTGGGCCATTCGGGTCGTAAACTTAGCACTTCACATCACGGGATCTACCGACGCCGTCTTCTGGTACGTTGTGTGGAGCATCGCAACAAGTCGAATTATTTGGATTTCCATGAACGCTGCAGGCGACGTGAGGTACTCATCTTTCATTTTGTGGGAGACTGGAACACAACTACACAAGTAAGCCAATCTTGAGCATACTGCATCACAGATCCAAACAGTGACATATGAACAAGTTATTTTCAATCGGGGAGAAACTTCTTACCGTGAGCTAAAACTTTTCGTGCTTTAATTTTGTTAGTGACTTAAGACTTTGGGTTTCTAATATCATTCATTTTTGAAGAGCATGGTCACAAACATAAAAGTGAATGCAAGCGATGAATGCGAAAGAGTAACAGGAGAATACGAGAGAAAAGAGAGAAACGTCTCATTCGAAATCATGCCAAGAACAGTTCCAGTCTGATGAGGTGAATCCAAAAGTATGTGAAGATTTTGGTATGGCAACACGCGTCTAAAGACCAACAACCGAAGAAAGGACAAACAATGGTGAATGCTCTTCAAGGCGCGGTAGGCGCTAGCACAGTCAGGACTCGCACATCGGACACAAAGTGTCCGTCATCCTGTGTCTGGTGTGAGATTAAATGCCTGGGGTACTTTTACTATAGATTTTGGGAACTCGAATATTCACTTTAGCGCTCACTCTCACTGAGAATCTTATTTCATCTGGACGCAATGTGTTGGTTGGAGCCAGCCAAGCCAGTCACGCTAGTAGCGTGCTCTTTGCCCACATTGATACTGTAAATCACCAGATACAAATATTTGAGGTATTCACGGTAATTTGTGGGCAACCTATCCACCAATGGCCATTGCCATTCGACCAAGTTTGTCGCACCATTGTTTCGTCAAAAATAGATCAGATAGTTCGTGTTAAACCGATTCGCTCTGCATATACAAAATAGCCCGACAGTGTTCGAACAAATCCGGAATGCTTGCATCACGCCTGTGAATGGCCTCCATTGTATAGATCTTTGCTTCGTGTGGACATTCTGCATAAAACCATCTGACGCTAACCCGACAGTTGAAATGCTTCTATAGTTCATTTGTCTTTCAGTTGGATATCAATCTATATAAGCGAAATCTATTCAGATACTGTATGGTAGTCTAATTACCGGGACGCCTCAGCAAAACGGCAAGTCACTTAAGGATAAAAAATCCGTCAGGTGCAGAATAGTCCCCCTTTGTTTGTGCCCAATAGTGTCAACACACTTGGTACTTACAAGCTAATCTGGCTTGCTACGGACATCAGAAGTATCACAGTAGGCAGTGATCCCACAAGATGTTTTCTACTTGGTGGGACAGTACACCTACCAAACAGGATCGAGCAATTTTTCATGGCGGCGTCTCCAATCTGCGTTGATTAGAATTGAGAACGATATGTCAGGAGCTAAGCACTTCATGCTTGCTCCCAGTATGGAACAGTAACTTCTTTAACAAAAGAATGCGGTTCATTTGGCTTCGCCATTGAGTAATGTTTGCCCAGCGGACATTCTAACCATTTTTATTACCCATAGTTTTGTATTCTGTCTCCTTATGGAAACATAACTTAGGGGGAAATAAAGCTATCTCCTACTTCGAAGCGTCGTATGTTTGTATTTTCGGGCCAAGGCGAAGCCACAGTCACAAATAATCAGAGAACAATGTATGTGCGCATTGAAACATTTCGATGAGATGTCCAGACGGACTACCACTTCAAAACAAATTAAAAGATCCATCGAGATTTTCAAACTGTGGTTAATCATCGCTGATTTATGGTACATTTTGTGATCGATAGGTTGACAGACAATAGCTAATTCTATTGAAATGTTCCAACGAGCGAATTTGGATAACCAACAGTTTATTACATTTTCAACCATTTCATGTTGTCATTACAACCACCAACCCGTAAAATATCTCTGGACAGATTCCCGAATCCCGAGCTGCTATAGTTAGACTGCTTGAGGCAATTCGGTTGGAACGAGGCACTGGACCGTTACTTATCCATTGCTTGGATGGCGCTACTCGGAGTGGTCTTCTGGCCGTTTGTCACTTGCTTGCCGAACGCATGACGCGAGACCACTATGTGGATTTGTTCCATGTGATCAAGTCAGTGAAGATCCGGCGTCGAGCTGTTCTTGCCTCACAGGTACAGTTAGCTCAGTTTCTACAATGTAATCAATCCACCACAAAATGCACTATTGCTTCATTTGTATGCTGTTATTCATCTAATTCTTACTCTGCTTTATTTAGCTATTCGGGATATTTTTCGTGGTATTGTGATTCCAGCGATGGCATTACATTCAACGTACTGACAAACAGTATGTCAAGTTTAGGCACACCATCATCGGTGCAGAACTCAGGACCTACATCATGTTTTAGGATGTGGGTTGGCGACAGATGATCAATCAGTGGGTTGGTTCACAGCAGTTAAGTGCATTTAAAAAGGCCGTTCAGAAGGAGATGGGAGGAGTTATATTCTTGGTTTGTGAATAAAACGGACCCGTAATGTGTCGTTCAGAAACGAGCACTTCATCAAATCCATAAATTCAGGTCTGATAGTGACCAATGGATTACGAGCCCTGCCGGTCTGTGCACACTGTTAAGCTGATGGTTTATCATTTTATTTTTGGAATCCGATTAGTAAGACGATATTTTCTCGAGGAAGGCATCACAGGTGGGAATTCAGCACCATTGGTGCAACGAACTTAAGGGGGCTCTTTCATGTGTTTCTTATAAGAGCACTTCATCCAGAACTTAGACAAAATACCCCTTTACGAGTGATACTCACCACAGTTCCAGTGTACACAACTACTGTCAACTCACATGCCTCCGGAAGGCCAACCCCGGTCAGACTGTAGACTGTTGTCCTGTAAAAAAGCGATCCTGACAGCTATTTTATACTCCTGTTTTGGGAACCAGCCCCATCCTAGTTGTGCCAACCGAAACACCGCTGAGTTCCCACTGCACTCCAAAAGAGCTTTGTACGTGTCTAGAGAACCCAATTCCCAAATGTTTTGCCGACATTCTTGGTGTACAAGAATTTGTTGGTCCCAGTCAGATTCGGACAAAACACGTAGTAAGCGTAATCCCCAAAAAGTGGTCAGACATCGGCTGCACAGTGGGGACCCAAGAGACTGAATCATCAACACTCTGTAGGCCAGTGCTGTCGCAGTGTCAACAACACAGTTGTGCCATAGCGTCATCAACAAGTAACCTCTTAGGAGAGTCAGCTTCAGATTACGTCTCTCCTATTAAAATCCACCAAAAATGACCAATAATCCAGAAATCCCAACTGACTTCCCCGATGAAGTTCGCACCGAAGCTTTCCGACTCTATTGCCAGAACGTACCTGATCCAACCTCTTTCCCAACTGTCTATCGAGGGGATGAAGAAGCACCATGGTTACAGCTTTGCAAACACACAAGGGTTTCTGTTAAGGCAAGTGAATTGACACGACTAAATAGAAGTCTATATATACCCCAGATCCACCCCAGGTTATCTCGTGTAATGTTAACCTGACTGGTCAAAACATTCCTCCTGGTGACAAATCCTCCAGGGAGCCACATCTAAACGTATCTCTGGACCAAACGAGATTAAACGCAACCAATAAAAACAAAAGAACTCAGTGACTTCAACTGTTTCGCCAGTAATCAGCATGACTTTAGTCATGGGGAATATAATTATATATAT